CGCCCCTCCTCCACGAGCTGACCTTCCAGGCCATGGCCTACGACCTGTTGCCCATCGAGAACGATGTCTACAAATTCGAGGCCACGTCTGGGAACGAAGTGCGCGACAAAGAGGTGATACTCGACGAAAACGACGAAATATGGGCCGAACTCCGGCACCAACACATCGCACTCGTCTCGCAGAACGTCACCAAACAGCTCAAGAAGTTCATCGACAGTAAGCGCATGTCGACCAACGATAAGACGTCGATGAAGGACTTGTCGCAAATGATCAAGAAGATGCCGCAGTACCAGAAGGAGCTGTCGAAGTACGCCACGCACCTACACCTCGCCGAGAGCTGCATGAAGTCCTATCAGGTATGGCTCGCATCCCTGTCCCCCATTATCACCACCCGGTGGTGTTCCACTGCCTTATATATCTAATCACTGATCATCCCGTTCCCCACACCCGTGGCCACCCCCAGGGCTACGCCGACAAGTTGTGTCGCGTGGAGCAGGACCTGGCGATGGGCACCGACGCCGAGGGCGAGAAGATTAAGGACCCGATGCGCAACATTGTGCCCATACTTCTGGACCAAGCGGTCAACATATTCGACAAGATTCGCATCATCTTGTTGTACATCATCTCGAAGAATGGCATCTCGGAGGAGAACTTAGCCAAACTGATCCAGCACGCACAGATACCACCACAGGACAAGACCATCATCACCAACATGTCCTACTTGGGCATCAACATCACCACCGATGCCGGTCGCAAGAAGGTGTATCAGGTGCCCCGCAAAGAGCGCATCACCGAACACACGTACCAGATGTCCCGGTGGACGCCCATTGTCAAGGACATGATGGAGGTATGTCCGGGTGGTGGCCATTGTGCGCCGGAACACCTGATTTGATTGGAGTGATTGGAGTGATTGGATTGCATGGTGTGTGTGTGGTATCTATTGTGTCACTCATGCGTTAATGTATGAATCAATTGATTGTTAGTTTTTTACCACAAGAGTTACCACCGTTTGCACTCTAATGACTCGTATATCAGGGTCTATATTATGTCTTATTGAACGCTTTAATACGTGTATTAAACGCATTGTTTTTCGCCGTCAGAACGCCATCGACGACAAGTTGGACGCCAAGCACTTCCCATACCTGACGGGCCACTCGGCGCCGGCCAACTTCGGACGCCCGGCGCCCACGAGCATGAGGTACGGCCACTGGCATAAGGACAAGAACGCGCTCAACATCAAGAACGTGCCGCGACTGTTGATCTTCATCATCGGCGGCATGTCCTACTCGGAGATGCGGTGCGCCTACGAGGTGA